AGCAGCAGCAGCAGCAGCAGCAGCAGCATCTCGCTGCAAGTGGGTCGCGCCATCCGAGCCGGACTTGGGCTCGCGATGGAAGCGATCGGAATCGACTGGCTCGCGATCGTGTGTCGGCTTGGCAGCGTTGCGGGAGGCGGTCGGGTCGCGCCGAACTGCCAGGGGTGGCGCCGAGGTAGCTCGGAGGTTTCGACGACGGGCCCTGGTCATCTCGTGGAGTGACTAGCTAGCAGCCGGGGAATGATGCGAGGTGGTCTTGAGGCTGAGCCGACTCGAGCGCGTATCGAGGTTGCGGGCCGCGGGTGCTGCGCCTGCTGAAGGGCTTGGGAACTTACCATTGTGACTCAGATCGGTTGGCTCCGAGAGGCCAAGTGTGGGAAAGGATGAACCTGAGTGTGTGTCAGCCGGCCAAATGAAGTCGGGTCTGCCGAGTGAGCGGGGAGCAGCGGCACAGCGGCACAAAAATGTGACAGAGTCCAATCAACGATTGTCGAGAGCCGGTGGAAACGATGCGAAGAGGTGCGCCAGGTCGAGCAGCAAGCAGCGCTGTCTACCGAGTCAGCGAGATAGGTCAAGTTGCGCGAGGCAGGTGGTGGTGAGAAGAGATGATGCGATGCCAGTCACAAAAGGATGCGAGCCAAGGTGGGAGCTACGCCGTGCCAAACCGCCAGGTGGAGACGACGCGCGCTGCCGCAAGCTTGCGTCAAAGTGTTCTTCTTCTCGCGCCTTCCTTGTGGCGTCTCAGGCGAGCAGCAAGCCATTCAGCGGCAAGCGGCAAAAGGGCCCGCCCGCTCCCGTCGTCGCCTTGCCAGTCAGAAGTGGCCAGCCTGGCTCGCTGCACGGCACGCTCCTTCCAACACAATTTGGCGTGCAGGCCCCCACCCGTCTAATTTCGGCACGAGCCTGGCTCGGGCTTTCTTCCTTTGATGATGGATGTGTTGGCAATTTCGAGCCCGATCGTTCTCGACACCCGATTCGGCTTGGGCGGTGACATAAAAGTCACGTGTCGTTGGCGCGGCAGAACCGCAGCCTAACATTTTGAAGCCACGTCCAAAAACACGCTCTGACGCGGCGAGCCAGTTGGGCGTGTCGGGCGTGTCGTCGAGACCAACACCTCTCTCTCGCTTGAAAAAAGGCTCAGCCGGCAACGGCTCTCTGCGCGCGGCGTGGCGGCGGCGTTGAGGCGGTGGAGCGCATTTGCCATTTTTCCCCTCCTCTCTGCCGGAGCTGCTGGAGAGCAACACGCAAACAACGAACCGCAACCATCACTCGACCGCACCTTCCTCCACCGCTACCATCTTTGCCTCTGCGCGCCGTATCGTCACCACTACCATCTTCCTGGCCGCCCTCTCTCGATCCCTTCGTAGCGCGTTGCGGTCGACGCCACCAGCTGCTTCAACCCTGGGTGCCGGCCAGACCACAATCGCGCCCTGCGCCCTGCTAGATCCGCAACCCCGCTCATATCTTCAGCCATGACGACATTAGACGGCGCCGGCGATGCGTCGGGCTCAAGCTACACGCTCGCCGACGAGATCCTCCTCCTCCAGGATGAACCCTACATCATCCCGCAAGAGGTCGCCGTCGACGACATGAACACCTCCGAACAGATCTCCACACTCGACACCGCCATCGACGCAATCACTTCCAGCCCAGACAACGTGTCCAATCCAGAGATCTACGACCTCATCCGCTCCTACCTCAAGCACTTCCCAAACCTATGCCCCAATGCTTGCAACAAGCTACTCGACGTCATCGCTTCCGGCATGTCCAATGCCCTCGACGAGGCGCAGCGCGAACTGGATGGCGAGGATCCCAACGCCTATGCCTCCCACGCAGAGACTTTAGAGCGATTCGCCTTCCTCCTCCAGTGGCTCGTCTCGGTGGCCGAAAAGCACAGCGGCGCCAGGAGCGACAACGCATCTTCGGCCGCTGCCATCACCGCCGCTAGAGGCGGTCGCCGAGGCGCAGGATCCAAGGCAGCTGCCGCCGCCGCCGCCAAGTCCAGCTCCGGCAAGGCCGACGCATGGGCTTGGTCCAACTCCATCCCCGCCGTGCTCGCGCTCATGTCCAAGGCCGCTCGCGTGCGCAGCGAACGCATGTGGACCGTCTCGGCCGCCCGCGATGCTTTCGTTTCGGGCTGTCTGCTTCGGCCCGCACTCTTGCTCCAGGAGAACGAGTCGTACCTCAAAGTTCAGCCCATCAAGCTCGGCATCTTCAAGGTCATCTGCCAAGCCGTAAAGGCGCACGGTCAGGCTTTCAGCGCCCAGACGAGCATCATGCAGAGCCTGCAGTACTACGAACATCTCGCAGAGCCCATGGCAGAGCTGCTCGCCGTCATGCGTCTCGAATTCGACTACGAGCGCCTGGGCGAGGAGGTGCTTCGCGAGGTCGCCGCCAAGAGCTTTGGCGTCATGGATACAAAGAGTCCGCGCTCCTTCGGCCGCTTCCTCGTGCGCATGGCCGAGCTCAGCCCACGCAGCGTGCTCAAGCAGATCAGCCTCCTGCAGAAGCATCTCGACTCCGAGTCGTATCCGATGCGCAATGCCCTCATCGAGACCCTCGGCCTGCTCATCAAGGAGCTCGCACTCACAGATGACTCGCTCAACGCCGACGCCGCCGCCAACGGCGCCGGCACCGACGAGGGCGCCGACGAGAACCGCGGCACCGCAGAAGCGCGCAAGAAGCAGATCGAGACCTTCTTTGATCTGCTCATCGAGCGCTTCCTCGACCTCAACTCCTACGTCCGCTCCAAGCTCATCACCGTCTGCGCACGTCTCCTCGACCTCCCCACCAAGTTCCCAAAGCAGCGCACAGAGATCACCAACATGGTCATCCGCCACCTCGAAGACAAGAGCAGCGGTGTGCGCAAGAACGCAATCGCCCTCCTCACCAAGCTCATCCTCACCCATCCCTTCGGCATGCTCCACGGCGGCGAGCTCTGCTTGCAGGAGTGGCAGGCGCGTTACGACCTCGTCTCCAAGGAGCTAGAGGAAACCGAAGGCTCGCTCAACCTGCCTGGCGAAGATGCGGTCGATCAGGACACAGACTCGGAAGACGAAGAAGAGGATGAAGCCAAAAATGAGGATGACCACATGGACGAGGACGGCGACGGCGACGAGACTGTCACGAACGATGACGAGGATGAAGAAGAGGACGACGAGGATGCGCCACCGCGTCGCAAGTCGGCCAGCAAGACCAAGTCCGAGAGCACAAAGGCCAAGGCAAAGAAGGGCCGTCGATCCGGTGTCGATATGCAGGCGCTCGCTGCCGCCCAGGCCGAAATGGAGCCCGTCGATGCCGAAAAGGTGATGCGTCTGCGTCTCACCAAGCGCTACTACACCGACGCCATCGCCTTCATCACGCAGATCGAGACGGCCATGCCCAACCTCACCCTGCTGCTCGCCTCCACCAACAAGGCCGAGGTGCTCGAGAGCATGGAGTTCTTCCGCGTCGCCTACGAGTACAAACTGTCTGGTGCTGCCGCCGGTGTGCGCAAGATGGTCCACCTTATCTGGACCAAGGACAACGCGCTCGTCATGGAGGACGGCAGCCAGCTCAAGGGCGTCCGCTCGCGTCTCATCGAGGTCTACCGTGCGCTCTACTTTGATGCGCGGGCTGACATGAATGCCAAGGACAACGTCGCGCGCATCGCCAAGAACATGATCGAACGCACCTTTGGTGCCACGCTCGCCGAACTCACCTCGCTCGAGGAGATGCTCAAGACGATGCAGATCGAGAATCTTGTGCATCCAGAGGTGGTCAACAAGCTCTGGGCCGTCTATTCCGCGCCCCGCGCCATCTCGGCCGCCCAGCGACGAGGTGCCATCATCGTGCTCGGCATGCTTGCCACCGCCAGGCGCGAGATCATCTCGGAGCAGATCGACGTGCTGCTGCGCGTTGGCCTCGGCCCGCTCGGCGCACGCGACGTCGTGCTGGCCAAGTACACGTGCGTCGCGCTGCAAAGACTCGGTGGCAGCGTCAAGAAGGTCAAGGGTGCGCTGAGCGACGAGAGCGTGCGCTACCCCATGAGCCACCCGCTCTTCGGGCGGCTCAGGGCGGCGATCCAGATGTCCGGCGACGTGCTCAAGGGCGAGAGCAAGGCTGAATGGTTTAGCCTCGCCGAGAACGCCATCAACACCGTCTACCTGCTGGGCGAACAGCCGGACGCCATGTGCACCGAGATCATCTGCAGCATGACCTCGCGCGTGTTCGACGGCAAGGCTGCAGCACGTGCCGCCAGCCCAGCGAGTGCCATGAACGAGGACCGCGACGACGCCGCTAGCGATGTTTCCATGGCCGACGCTAGGGAGTCGCTCTCCGGTGCCGACGCGCCCGTGTCGGGCGATGCATTCCAGCTCGCCCAGCTGCTCTTTGTCGTTGGCCACGTGGCACTCAAGCACATCGTCTACCTCGAAATGGTGGAGCGCGAATACAAGCGCCGCAAGACGGAGGCGGACAAGGAGAAGGCGGTGGCCAAGGCGGTATCCGAGGGCAAGGCGAGCAAGGCCGCCGCCGCTGCCGCCGCAGCCGCAGTCGAAGAGCTCGACCAGGTGGCGGGCAATGCCGAGGACGAGATCGGCGAGGTGATTGCGAGCGTGCGCGAGAAGGAGCTGCTGTACGGCAACCGCAGTGTGCTGGCCATGTTTGGGCCCATCATCACGCACATCTGCAGCAACCCCAAGTCGTATCCGAACGAGCTGGTGCGGCGTGCAGCCGTGCTGACGCTGTGCAAGTTCATGTGCGTCTCGTCGACGTTCTGCGAGGCGAATCTCGCGCTGCTGCTGCACATCCTTACCAAGTCCAAGGATGCCGTGATCCGCAGCAACGTCGTCATTGCGCTGGGCGACATTGCGGTGTGCTTCGGCTCGCTCGTCGACGAAAACTCGGACCGGCTCTACGCGGGTCTGGGCGATTCGGACCTGTCGGTCAAGAAGCACACGCTCATGGTGCTCACCCACCTCATCCTCAACGGCATGATCAAGGTCAAGGGCCAGCTGGGCGAGATGGCCAAGTGTCTCGAGGACCCCGAGCCGCGCGTCTCAGACCTGGCCAAGCTCTTTTTCAGCGAGCTGGCGACCAAGGAGAATGCGGTGTACAACAATCTGCCGGACATCATCTCGCATCTGTCCATCGGCAAGCACGCCGTGGACGAAGAGACGTTCGCGCGCACGATGAGGTTCATCTTTACCTTTATCGACAAGGAGAAGCAGGCGGAGAACGTGGTGGAGAAGTTGTGCCAGCGATTCCGTCTGGCGTCCGACGAGAGGCAGTGGCGCGACATTGCCTTCTGCTTGTCGCTGCTGCCGTACAAGAGCGAGCGCTCGATCAAAAAGCTCATCGACGGACTGCCGTTCTACCAGGACAAGCTGTTCCAGCCCGAGGTGTACAAGCGCTTCCAGGAGATCCTGGCCAAGGCGCGTGCCAACAAGACCGCCGGCGGCGGTGCAGGTGCCGGACGCGGCGCTGGCGGTCCTGCGGCAGGCGGCGCCGCGGGCGAGGGCGCCGGTGATCTGCGCGAGTTCGAGGAAATTCTCGCCCAGGCTGCGGCCAAGGGCGAGCAGGACGAGGCGTTGGAGGGCGCTGCTCAAGCCAAGGTTGCCAAGCTCACCAGAGGCAAGGGCCGAGGCAAGACGAGCAGCGCTGCAGCCACGGGCGCGGCCAAGAGGGCGACGCGCGGGAGTCGCAGGATCTCGGTTGCCAGTGAGGCCTAGTTGCTGGCATTTGGTTCGGTATCGACTTGGAAGTTTCGAATGTAATAGTATCGTTATCTTTCTGTGCACGGTTGGATGGGCATTGAGGCCACGAATGCTGGTGCTTTCTATGAGGAGCTGCAGGGTCCGTGAGAGAAGGGGGAGCGGGACTCGGCCTCTGAGATGGACGGGTGGAGGTGAGAGAGGTGAGAATTCAGGGTCCACTCAAAATTCCACTCCAGCCTGTCGTCCTCACCACCACCACTGTGCCCATCCTCTCATCCACCCGGCAGCCACGGCATCTCTCTATCAGGCGAGATGGAGAAGGGGTTCGCGTTCCAGACGCCAGCCTTCCTGGGCACGCGCTTTCGGCAGAACCACCAGATCCGGCAGGTGAAGAACAACTCGCGCCCGCATCTCGCCTCGCACCGCTCGCTGTATCCCAACAGCTCGCACTCGGCGCCCTCGCTCGGCCTTCTCACCGCACGCGGTCTACCGGTCGGAGCCAACTTCGCGCGCACGCACCTCTCGTCCCACCGCCGACGCCATCTGCGTCGCTGCTACGATCTGGTGCACGTCTGTCTGCAGCGGCGTCAGCTCGCGCTGGCTGCGCGGTTTCTGCGTGTCATACTGGCAGCGCACGAATGGACGACCGATGAAACATGGCGTCTGGCACTACTTATTCTTTCGCTTCAACCTACGCCGGATGGAGGGTCAGGTGGATCGAGTGCGAGGATGCGGTACTTGCAGCAGCTGGATTTGGAGGAGAGCTCGGTGTTCAAGGCGACGCACACGACGTATGCGCTCGTGGGCGAGTACGTAGCAGCAGGCAAGTTGCTCGAGGCAGTCGAGCTGCTGGAGCAGCGCGTCAACACGCATCCATACAAGAGTCAACCTGAGCTCCACACCACATTGGGGCTGCTCTACGTGTTTCTGGGGCTCAAGACCCTGGAAAGCAGGGGGCAGATGACGGAAGAAGGCGTGGGGTTGAGGGCGCTGGATAGGACGACGAGGGAGAAAGCACGGCGGTGCTTTGAGCAAGCTGTGCAGGTGGGCGATGCGTGGGTGAGGACAGAAACGCACCGCAGGCAGAGGATCTACTTTATGCATCGCAAGCACGAGCGGCACGATGCGGCGCGGCTGGCGCAAACACGGACGCGACTGTGGGGGACCGACCCACTGCAAGCGGATACCGACGATGCATGGCCGGAGAAAGAGCACCCCGATATCGCCAGGGTGCGCAGACGACTTGCGCGTGCGGAGGGACGCGAAGAAGAGGAAGAGTCGGTGCAGAGCGGGAGCGAGACGGCGGGTGAGGACGAGTCGGTGCGGTCGGATTCGGCTTCGTCCGACGACAACGGCGACGATGAGCCCGAGCGTGGTCGCTCGCACACACGCACACCGTCCCTACCACGCGCCCCCCATGACGAAGATGAAGAGGACGAGCTGGACAAAGATGAGCAGGGCACAGAGGAGGGAGGTGAAGCCGAGCCACGCACTGGCCCACGCGCGTGGGCACAAACCTGGCCCGAGGTGGCATCGACCTGGACCGTGGCGGAGCCATTTGCGGTCGAGATGGCACGTACGTTCCTCGCGCTCTTCCCCGCCGTTGCACCTCGCCCCACCGCCGAGCCCGAGCCCGAGGACGATACGCGGCTGCGCCAAATCCTGTTCGACGATCCAGACGTCCCCGAATCCGTGTTCGATTCCGAAGACGAGCAGAAACCGCGCGGCAAACATGGTAAACATGGCAAACATGGCAAGCGCGAGCACCGGGACCGCACGCGCGAGCGCAAGCACAAACGCCCCCGTCACTAGTTTCACACACTCGCACGTTGGCACAAGTTAAGCGATCTGCAATTCAGGAAAGCATGGCACGAAGAGCGGCGGAATCGTGTCGCTCCTGCTCTGCATCAGCTTCACCGGTGCAGGCCTTCCAGTCAGCGAGCTGTGGCAGTTGGAGCGCAGCGGCGAGCGTGGAGCGAACAAACTGCACGGGAAAGCGCGTGCCAGTATACAGCGGGACGAGCCACTCTCGCTCCTTTTGCGCGTGCAGCTTGATATGCAGATAGCCATCGTCACCTCGATCCTCTGTATGCGTCTGGTCAAAGTACTCTCTCGCAGCGTCGGAGCGCAAAACTGCCGTCTTGGCCGAGTTGGCTTGGGCCTCGAGAGCGTCGTCGAGCTTCTCTGCGACCTCGATGGAGGATTTGAGCGCGAGCAGTTGGGTCTGGAAGTGCGTCATGCGCGGACTCGTGCGTACGCGCACCAGTGTCCACTCGAGCATCACATGTCCTTCCTTGGCCCACACGGCGCGAACCGCCGCCTTGGTCGACTCGACCTCGCTCCGGATCGACGCTTTCTCGCCATCATCACCCTGCCCGCCGTGCACGGGGTGGGAGCCGGGAAGAAGATCTGCAACGTGCGCGAGCGGGACTACGATAAAGTGCGCGCCCGTGTGCGGGATCTCGTTCACCGAGGCGTGGACAAACGGTCCTTTGGGTCGAACGAGGTACGAGGCCGACCCAATCGTGACAATGAGCTGCTTCTCCACCGAGGGGTTGGACAGGCAGAACCAGCAGTTGGCCGGGCCGACGGGGATCATCTGTCGCCCGCCCTGCGCGAATGACGGCTTCGATGGCAGCCCCATTGGCAGCTCCATCTTTCCCGCCCCCTCTGCCGCGGATGCTGGCTGCTGAGCGTTGGTCTTGGACGGACACGCGCGGATGAAGTGCCCCTCAACACCGCAGATGCGACACACATAGCCGGGCGGCGGCACGTCTCCATCTGCCCTCGCACGCTTTCGCCCCGCTTCGCCAAACCGGAAATTCTGCTCCTCCTCGGCGGGTTGTGCGCGTTTCGCCTGTTTGGCTGCCTTGGGCGTGGCGTACGGGCTCGGAGTTGCGTTGGGTGGCACCACCGCAGCGCCCTGCTCGTCGGCAGGCGTCAGATTGAGCGCCACAAACCAGCGCCGCTTGCCGCTGTTGCCAAACGTCGCCAGACTTACAAAGCGCGTTACGCTGCGCAGTGGCGCGCGCACCGGCGCAGGCAAGTAGCTCGCCAGATCGGTCGTGTAAGGCGCACGCTCCCAGAATGCGCCCATGCCGAGCGTGGCCTCCTGGATGCCGACGGGCAGGTCGGGGCTGTCCGGCGATGGAGCGAGCGCAAAGTGGTATCGCGCACACGCGTGTGTTGCCAGCCGCGCGATGACGGGCGAACCCCATGTGCGTGCAGTCGGATCGGGCAGCCCTGCATCAGCATCTGCGCCCGTGGCGAAGAGCGTAACACCCGCAGGCCAGGTATTGGTGAGCAGCAGGTCGAGCGCTGGCCGCTGCTGCAGCATCTCGAGCGCCGCACTCTGGCGCGCAGCCCGTGCTTGTTCCGCCGACGCACTCGCACGCGCCGCTGCAAGCGTGCCTTCCTTTGCTGCCGGTGCAGACCCCTCCTCCGCCACACTAGGTTTCGGAAGACGGAAGGACGGATGTGCCAGCAGTCTGCGCACCGTGCTCGGGGTGATGTAGGTCGTCTTCTCGTCCTCCGCTCTCTGTGTTGGGGACTCGTGCCAGTCCTCCGCGTCAAAGTCGCCCAGCCCGCCGTCGGCTGCAAAGGCACCTGCGTCCCAGTCGCCTCCAACGAATGCAACGCGAAACCCTTGCGCGGTGGTGAACACGCCGCTCTTGCCGGCTGCCCAGTGCAGCTGCGGCGTCACTGCAACGAGCCCGTTGGAGCTGCTCGGGCGGGCTTCGCTGATCCGCTTCCCGACATCGGCAGGAAGGCTACCTAGGGCCTGGTAAAAGTACGTCGGGATCGGCAGCGAAAGGGTGCCTGCGAGCAGGTCGGACAGCTGCTTGGCGGCGTCATCGGTGGGGGTGGAGGCGAAGAGGTCGCCGACGATGAAGAGCGCAGCAAACGGCCCGTGTTTGGCCTGGATTGCCGAGGTCTTCGATACCAGCTCCAAGAGCCGCCCATGCACGGGTCCGACGAGCAGCACCTTCTCCGGCATGACGACGCTTTAGAAGTGAGGAAGGATGGTGGCAAGCAGGAAGAATGACAAGGCTCGAGCGAGATTCCAAAAAGTTGGCTCGGCAGTTGACCGAATTCCGAAATTCTTTCACATGAGCGCTTCGTTTCTTCGGGGTTGTGTGCTTGGACCACTTCCACCATCTCTCTCTGCGGGCGGCAAAGTCGAGCATGTCGAGTCTGGAGCCTACACCGTCACGCGTGGCGCCGCGCGGTCGCGATCCGGCACGCGGCGTATACTACAAGCTCGCGTTCTTCTCGGTGGCGTTGTTCGCCGCGCCCATCTCGGCCTACTACTTTGCAAAGGACAGGTACCTCGATGGTAAGCTGCCTCTCCAGCACTTTACGCTAGACAAGTACGGCCGCTGACACTATTCTCTATTGTTTTGGAAATAGGCAATGCAACGTACGCGGGAGGTCTGGCTGCCGTGGTCGTCAACATCGTGCTCGCAGCCTACATCGTAGCCGCCTTTCTCGAGGACGACTCCGAGCCCAAACCGCAGCCCAAACCGGACGCAAAGAAGGACCAGTAACCGCATCCCACCGTACCGACACACCAGACTGTATACCCCAGCACGCACCACACCACAAACACACTCCATCACAACACTTGCAAGGCTGTCTATCATTGCAAGGCTCGCCAAAGGGTATCCGGAGGGGAAAAGGCTAGATCGACTTGAGTTTGTCCAGCACCTGCTGGAGCACGCCCGCGTCCGCAAGGCCGATCGAGATGGTGCCCTGCTTGTTGATGTGGCACAGGTGGTGGTCCTTGAACTCGATCAGCAGCGATTTGAAGTCGGCCTCGTTGGACGCAAGGAACGAGCGCTTGGCCTTGTTGAGCAGCTCGGCATACGCCACCCCGCCAACGCCCTGCACCTCGCTTCCCTCGGCCGCACTCGAGAGACACTGCTTGGCTAGCAAGTTGAACAGCGCGCGTGCCTTGGTAGTGACCGACTTGAGGATCGAGATGGCCGAAGTCTCGGAGACGGTTCGGAACGCCTCGCTGACTTGGAGGCCGTTAAAGTACGCAGTGCCCGTTCCCTCCTGTGCGCCCGTGCCTGTCGCCGATGTACCAGCCGCAAACGACGCCGAGGATCCGATCAAGTCGAGCGCAGGAGGCAGCACAGGCATCCACGTCGCGAATGCCGGGTTGGAACGCATCATGAGCATCTCGTCCAGGCTCAGGATGAACGTCGACATGTTCTGCCAGATCCACCGCAGCCTGGCGGTGCGATCTTCGTCGGTGCGATCCCCCGCGGCCGCCTGTTGTGCACTCGAGGCAACAAAGCCAGAATTGATGTGCTCCGTGGTGGCCATGATGTGGATGTGCGACGATCGCGCCAGGATCTCAAGCACGCTCTTGAAGCGGATCGACTGCATGCCTGGCGCATCAAACGTCTCGAGGATCAGGAACAACCTGCTCGGCCCCCCCGCCGCGGTCCCGTTGAACCGCCTTACGATTCTCTCCGCCCTTGCTGCGGTAAGCGTAGAAACCACCACGACGCCTTCATCTCCCTCGGCTGCCTGAGTTGCCAGGGTGAGCGGCCCGAGCGAAAGGGCGGATTCGATCTCGGCCAGCAGGTCTTCCACCTTGAACCCCTTGATTGCGCCCTGGGCCACGACGCCCATCGCGTCGCCCTCGGCCTCGATGCGTCGCTTGACCAGCTCAGTCAGCAGCTGCGTCTTGCTGCCGACGCCGTGGAAGATGATGGCGTATCCAGCGAGCAGCTGTGCAAAGTACACGGGTAGAAGATGGCGGTACATGCGCGAGGCAATGTCGGCCAGGCTGCCCTCTCGCGTCTGCGCCTCGACTACGCCCTCGAGACGCCGCGCATCCAGCGCTCGCAGCTTGGACGAGATGAGCGTGCCAGATGTGCCGATGCCCATGCCTGCCAGCCCGCGTGCGCGCTTCGACGTGTTGAACAGGAAATACGCATCCGACGACGTCGGCTTCACCAGACTCGACGTGCTCCCTCCCGCCGCCGCAGTCGATGTGCTGGCCGAGGGGTACAGCGAAAGCGAGCTTCCGTGATCGGGCGTCGCCATGGCGCTGCGCGTTGTGGAGGAACGTGCGGCGTTGATGAGCGGATTGTTCTCGAAGTCCGGCCGCCGGTTCTTGGACCCCGGTGGTCGGCCCTTGGGCTTGGGCTGGCGCGGCTGCTGCTCTTCCGTCTCGGCAGCGACGGAGGCAGCAGCGTCTGCGAGCGCCGACATGGCACCGTCCGTCGGCGTATCGGCTGGTGCACCAGGCTCAAACGGCTGCCGCTCCTTGCGCTTTTCGGAAGACGGCACACTGGGCGCCACAATCGTCTTTAGCAGGGGCAGGCCTGGCCGCTCGCCCTCGTTGAGTAGCACGCTATCTTGCGCCTCGTCTGCTGTGGGAGGAGCAGCTTCCTTCGTGCGCGCCGAAGCAGCTATCGGCTCGCCATCGGGCCCTAGACTGTCGATAAAGTCCTGCAGCTCCGCGTCTTTCTGGCGGTACAGGATGCGTCTTCTCAACTTGGCCAGGAGATCGTCCTGCGTTCGGGGCGATTCCGTCTCGTCCTCCCATGCGTCATCGTCATTACGGCCCACGCCGGGGATGATGCCTGCGCTGTCGTCTTCCAGGTCGAGGTCGAGGCCGGCGAGCAGGTCGAATTCGCGCTTCACCTTGCGCGTGCTCGTGCCACTGGCAGCGCCCTTGCGCCGCGGCTTGACCTCCTCGCCCTCTGCCAGCTGCTTGGGTGGGCGACCGCGTCGCTTGGGCACTTTCATCATCACCGCGTCTGGGTCCACCACCTTCTTCGGCCGGCCGCGCTTCTTGAACGATCCGTCCGGGTTGAGCTTACGGCGCGACCGACGAGGGCGCTTCTCGCCGGGCGCATACTTGCGTGGACGTCCACGCTTCTTGGGCACCTTGACCTCGGGCTCTTTGGGCTCCTTGCGTGGCCGCCCGCGTTTGCGCTTCAGCGGCTCGTTAGGCGCGTCGCCGTTGACGATCGGGATGACAACTTCCACGTCTGGTTTGACGGTGTCATTGGCTTTGGCTTTTCCCTTGGCGCTGCGAGGTTTAGGGTCTTTGAGCATGTCGATCACGTCGTCTTCGTCGTCGTCGTCCTCGTTGCGCTCGTCGTCCGAACCGGATGCAGAGCCCGAGTCCGAGTCGGACCCTGAACCGGACGCAGAAGACAAGTCGTCATCGTCGCTGGCGGGAAGCGAGGAGATCTCGTCGCTCTGCCAGTCCTCGTCACCTTCGACGTCAAGGTCTTGCGTCGGCGCCACACGACGCCGCTTTGCTGGTTGCCTAGCCATCTTGCACAGGCCTCCGGACCGACTGAGTCTGTGCAGGGGGTGGCTTGCACGGCCGAGGCGTCAGGCGGCAGAACGCAGCGGCGACGATGTCCAGTTGATCGGTCGGATGGATCGTTGATGTGACCGAACGAGATGATGTATGCGGGGCTTAGATGCTAGCTTGAGGGACAGAGTGAATTTGGTTCGGGCATTTCATTCAAGAAGGTGGGACGGGAGCTGGTTGAGAGGATGGGGTCCGTGTCCGGGCTCGAGACGCCGCCTCCCAACTCGTAATTTCCGAGTTCCGAATTTAGATCCAGGCTCCACCGCCCTCTCAGCCTTGCCCTTCTCACGAACGTACATGTCGACTCTTCAGATCAAGGGGAACGCAATGCTGTATTCTTGTTTCTCTACTGAGTAGACAGTATGAGTCTCTGGAGGTGTCACCGTCTAGTGTTGCGGGGCTTGGCAGCTTCGCGCGAGCCCGAGCCAAGCTGCTGCACGAGATCCTCCCAACTGATTTGCGGGTTGAGCGCTTCCGAATTGTCAGCTTGAGCCGGCTCACGTGTGGACGTGGCTGGCACAGCTGCGTCCTGCTGACGGGCACGAGCCGCCATGGTTCTCTCTGGACGCGTTTTGTTGTGCGGACTGTGGATGCTGTCGCTGGTGCTGCGACCTGGAGAATGTGCCAAGCTCGAGAAGCGCGGTGGTGCACTAGCGGTAGGCGGAGTGGACATAGCCGCTCCACCCGGGTATACGTGCGCTTCGGTGGAATGAAGCAATGGCTCTTCGGTATCCATGTCCACCTCGAATGATTCCACATCTGCGAAATGCGCAATGTTACCTGGCTGAAGCGAGGGTGCGCTAGATGAATTGAACTGTCCTTCCTGCGCGAACGCCGGCTGGCTGTGCTGAGGCAAAGGCTGAGCGGGCGCCGAACCGATCTGATACTCCCACTGCTCGATGAGAGCCTCTGCAACCAGCTCCCACTTGCGTTCGGAGCTCTGTACGCCCGCGAAACCAGTCCTGAGCGCATGGGCGAGCTCGCGCATGCCGAGCGAGTCAATCGACTCCGACTCTGCCTTGGTGCGCGCATTGATATCGTCCGAGCAGAAGAAGACGCTGGAATGCGTCTGGTGCTTGAGCTCAGCGCAGTACTTGACGATCTGATCGTCGCAGGACAACGGGTCGTCGAATGTCCAGCGCGAGCCTTGTGAGCGCGATTGCTTGGAGCGATTGTAGTGGGACGAGGTTTGAAGGAAGAGAGGCCAGAGCTGTTCCGGGAGGTTGGAGCCCGAGGCATCGATGGGGACACGTTTCTGTTTTTGAACGGCAGTTAGGAGCCAGTGGTTGGCATCGCGCGCCTGCGATGCCACTTGACGTCCCGAGTCGTCCTTGCGCCGAGTGAGCTTGAGGCCGTCCAGCTCGGATACGACGACAAAAGGAATGACCAGCTTGATCGGAGACGGGGCCAGGTGGGTCTGTTGAGAGCCTGCAGCTGCGGCGCTGGCGACGTTGCGGGTGAGCAGAGCAGCAAAGAGCGCCTTGAGCAGTTCGAGACACGACATGAGCGTGTTGGTATCGAGCACCCACAACGACGGCGAGTGCGCCACGGCTGCAAAAGTGGTCAAGACGGCCGTCGGCTGGAGCGCAGCGATCGGACCAGGCGAGGAGTCGCGGCTGTCGGATGCTACGGAGTGAAGAGAGGCGGTCAGGTGATCGTCATCGTGCAGTTCTTCGGCTTCCATGAGCTGTTCCTCTTCCCACTTCTCCTCGTAGCGGAAACGGTCCTGTTGTGGATCCCAGACATAGTCGCCCTTGGAGATGGTCAGGCGGACCAGATTGGAAGGCCCGGATTGGCCGAGCGCGCGAAGCCGTTCGTTATACAGATCGGCATAGGTCGGCATGGCGTGAGGCGGAAGGCGTGAAGGTGGTGCATCTGGCAGGGAGGATAGGCCGGGCGCCAAGCCACTTGTCGACCCCACGAGGAATCACGAAGACTTGTGGGAACGAGGTTGATTAGGTATTTGACACACCGCTCCGAGGCGGCATGTTGGCTGGACTAAGAAAGGGGAGCGTCGGCAGCGTGCCGACAGATGATTGGGAAGAAGGTGACCCACGCAAATGAAGCTCGCTGCAGTTGAACAAAGGGCAGGCGCGGCTCAGCCGAGCGCAAAGGGCAACCTTCTTGTCGAGCAAAGGAGGCTCGAGCGTGCATCTCGACCCTGCTCTTCCACACGCACACGCGAAAATGTGACTTTGTTGGTGGAGGTCGAGTTGGTGTCACGTGCAGTCTTCGGCCTGGAGTCGAGTCCCAGTTTTTTTTTCTTCGGAGGCGCCGAGCCAAGTCAAGTCGAGCCGCCGAGGCTGCCACTCCTTGCTTCTTCTCCTCAACCTACTAAAAAGAAACTTTGGCACCGCTATACCAAAGCACATTGGCTCCAGTCCATCCGGGCGTTCGCGTGCTTGAATAGGCAACGGCCATGCTGCTATGAAGCGGTGCCTCGATCGATCCAATTGGGATTATAATGCTTGCTGGCCTGCATCGGTGGCCAATCGAGCTTCGCTTTTCCCATACATCTTTCCTTTCGCTGTCCGGATCCCTCCCTTCTGCCTCTTTGTTGCTCTAGCTGTCTCGTTATTGTCGCCCTTTTCCTGCAATCAAAAGTCATTCTTGTCATCAGATCCGGCGCTCAGCTTAGCGATGGAGCAAGCAGAGGCCGCAGTGCGCTTTTTTGGCATCTGTTAAATCACTCTTGAGGCGAGCCGGCCCTCTCGCCGAGCTTGAGATGGCTGTGCGGCTCGGCGGCGTTGCTCAGCCAAAAGCGGCAACTGCACGCCGTGTGAACCCTGCATTTTTTGTCGGCTTGTGACTGCCGCCCACTGCTGTAATTCAACTCAGCCTCGCCTTGCTCCTCGAACGTCACATCCATCATCGGCATCATCCGTCTTCTTTTCTTAACTTCGACGGCCATCCTGCTTCACCGTCACAATGCCGCCCAAACCATCTGCGAATCCTTCGACGACGAACAAGGCAGACGCTACGCAGCAGCCCGAACCCGACGAGCCCGTCCCCTCCTACGAGACGGCACTCCGCGAGGGCGCTGGCGGTGGCATTGCTGCGGGCCCCTCTCACTCGCCCGCTCCGCCCGTCCATCCTACCTACGGCTGCTCGCCCTATACATCACACGGCACTGCACGTATCGTCATCGTTCCGGCACCGCATTTCCACTCTCAGACAGACGCTCTTCTTCCGCCGCCAGCATCGATGAACGCACCTCTCGGACCCAGGGCCAAGCCACGCTTCTTCCTCGCCCTCCTCCACGCCATCATCATCTACATTCTCATCAATCTGCTCATCGATCTTACAGTCACTCGCAACTGGTGATCGCTGCCGTCTTTTCGCATTCCCACTTCCGGATACCCGCACGCACCTTCGTCGCACCATCAAATGCTCGCATCGGATCGACAATACTAGATTGACGTGTCGTTGCAGAAGTGCCTCGTACGACATTGTGTCACAAGGAGTCGTGCGTACCTCGTGCGTGATTTGAGTGGTCAGCGAAAGGCTCGGCTCGGATGCCTTTACCACGACTGATCGCCACCCTCTTCGAGCTTGGGGTGGAACCCGGCGCCGCTGGGTCCGGCTACGTGTCCGAGATGCCTTTCAGCCTCCTGGCTCACCGCAACATCCGCCAGCCTTTGGAGCGCAACGAAACTCGGCCCGGTCCTACCCCACCGCAGCTGGTTCGCAGGGTAGTGCTGTTCGATAAACGCGTTGACCAGACGACGCGCAACGAACTGCTCCCTCCTCTCGGACACGGCCATCACCGGTTTACCGTAGCGACCCTCTAGAAAGCTTCTGAATCTGTATATCACATCACCTCCGAGATGGTCAGTCAAAACGCTCGCGGTATTCCCTCCAGCTGTGTTGCTTACGTCTGCCCAAGGTGGTCCTGGCGCTGGCGCTGAGCAACCCCGCTGTATGCGCATCATCACACAAGTCAGCAATCATATTCCCCAGCAGGCAACAGAGGGGTGTTCACTGCACTTACTGGATGTCTTTCAGCTCCCTTCGATGACGATTTGATCGCAGCGATAGAGAGAGTCAGATACGTTATTCCCAGTCTTGGCAAGTGCATAGTACGGTCGGGCTGCCACTACTTACTCGACAATGTACGCCAAAGTCGCACGACCGTCCCTGCGGAGAAACTCGTGCCAGCGCGCGGTGACACCCACCTCGGGATTCACACTGTGCAGAGTGCCCGGCAGGATGTTTTGGTGCGTGACGGTACGCCAAAGCATCTGGGCATCTTGCATCATTTCCATGCTCGGGTGCGGAAGCACAGCGGGAGTCGGCGCACAAAGCGCTCCCCAGGACATCATGGCCACCGTCAAGACGGCGGAGAGGATCAGCGTAGCTCGAATCATCGTCAAGGTATCTGGGATGGAAGGGCAGTTGGTGTTATGGCCAAACGAGGGGAGAGACGAGCGGATCGGCCCCTTTTTATAATCGAGATGTCTGCGACCAGACGCTTCGCTACACAGAGGTGCTTGGACTCGCCGTGTTCGTTCAGAACAGACACTCCTGGGGGACAAGAACGAGTCGAACCTCGATCTTCTCCAGGTCAGTCGGCGTCGTCTCGGTCTGGCGGCCATCATTTGATTTCATGATGCCGAACGCTCGCATCTAGCTCGGTGATCGCCGCACGGCGCGCCTCATCTTGTACTCTCTCGGTCTCGGAGTTCAGCGAGTTCATACCGGCGCTGCACCTTTTGTAGACCCCGGCTCTGCATAAAGACATCCTTGACCTTGGTTGCCCTTGTTTGCTGTCGTTTGCCGGAGCTCATCTGCCCTTCTCACATCATATCTGACGCCAGCAGACATCGACTTGAGCCGCGCTACCTCAACTGAAGTGGCTGTCGAGCCGTTCGACGGTCGCCGTCGAAGCTAACTTGCTCACGCCATGACATCACATTGCGCAATGGTCGTCCCTTTCATTGCATAGAGGCAATGTACCGTTTCAACTGCCGTCAGCTCCAATGAGCATTGCGTGTGACGGCATGCTCACGGTCGTCGATGCAAGGAGATGCGTCAACTACAGCCATAGCCCTGGTAGCCGTGAGAGAACCTCATTTGTTCTCTGGTGCCGATATGTCCGAGATTGCATTGAAACAATCTTCGGTCCGCATTCACTCCCAACGTGACTGCAATGTAAGCGAATGCTTTTGGCGCAGGACGAGAGTCAATGGGGCACTGTAGCATGCTTGATGTTGCAGGGCTATATTCAGCGAACAGAGTCAAGTTTGGAGTCAGGTGGAGCATCATGCTTGATTTTGAAATGCTACGAGTGACGAGCAATTTGTTGTCGAGATAGAATAGATGGCTTGTGAAGTTGTGCACTGAGAGTTCAAGGTTCGATGTGGGAAGAACGTCGCAGCCTCTGTATTGACAGCAACTGTAGCGTCGCCGTGGGAGTGCGTGGCTACTGGCTGGCCGAGGGTGAACATTTTCGGGGGCTAGTCGTTCGAAGGAGCGCGGCCAGCTGCCGAGCTCGGACCAGCTTCGCCGTCCGAGTCGTTGAGCCAGCCCTTCCACTCCTCGGACTCGCGCCTCTCCTGCTCTGCGCGCATATGCTCCTTGGCTTCCTCAATGAGTCGCAGGGTTACTCTGTGGAGGCGATACTGTCGAGCCATGCGTTCCTCGGCAAACGCGCGCACGATTTTGATCGACAGCGGCTGCAGTTGGTCGTGGTAGCGCACATTGATGAGCGAAGGGTGCTCGGATTCAACCACTCCCATGATTCTACGATAGACACGTTAGCACAATGCAAAGATCGGCGAAGGAGCTTAGTGGGCGATGTATACTTACGTCGACTTTCCAGCTCGAATGGCCCTAATTCTAATTTCGGTAAGGCAAGTCGTAACTGTCGTCAGCGTCGGTACAGAATCAACTCGGTGTGAGATTCACGACGTACTCGTCAAATTGGGCGCTAGTCGAAATGGCAAAAGGGGTCATATCAGCATCGGGTTTCAGGTGGCTTCGCACGCAGTCGACTTACAAGTGTTGCTCGACGATCTCTCTGCCTTTGGTGTTGAGGAATGCACGCCAGGCATTGTGCAGTCCTCGATCGAACTGGAGCAGTGAGGCATGCAGATTGCCAACGAGAGCAGAATCCCACAAGTACTTGACGCCCGGTTCGAGACCATCAAGGTTCGAGGGTGGCATTGGTGCTCCAAGCACCAGCCCTACAACGGCGAACAACACTGCAAAAAAGGCGAACTTCATCAGGATATACGATGGTTGAGAGGACGGCGTCTTTGGTTGTGGCGTGGCTACGACAGGCCGGAGAGATGAACGGCTGCTTATATGTGTCTGAAAGACAGCAAGCCAGGTGACAGCGAGGCGTCGTGACGTGGAATCTTGGTGTACGAGCTCGGCGAAATCCGCGAGAAAGCCTCATTTGGTAGGAACGGCACCTGCGGATACCTCTACGTTACTGCCGCCGGGTACGGTATGCAGCAACATCCGCCTTGAAAGGAGCCGCAGATTGGAGGCGGGCGTGAGAAGCCGCGCGCAATGAAAGCCGCTTCGCCTACAGTACTCTGCCCATTCATTAATTCGCCCAATGTGCAGCCAGCGGCGAACAATATCCGCCGAGCTCACAATCAGGGTCTTGGCACGCACGAGGAGCTGCTGTGTTTGTGTGTGAGAAACAACGATAAAATTGAGCAAAAGTATGTTATCACACGGCAGTATCTAAGGGAAACAGAATGAGAATGGGGTTCTTGCAGATGCTGGAACGACAATCGACGTCAAAGCTCGGGCTCACAGAGCAACGCTTGCCCGTCTCGACAGCTCTTTTACGAGCGGCTGCTGCCACCACGGCCGAGGCGAAGCTCGGTATCGACCGAGGCTCCCATCTGTCGGGCGGAGGAGCCGCCTCTCTTGGTCGCGAGGTGCTCGGCGAATTTTTCGACGAGGCCAGCGGCCATAGCGGGCTTGAGAACATCGGTCTCCGTGTTGAACGTGTACGGTTTAGTGTCTTCGAACTTTACCATCTTCAGGAGCCTGTATTCCCCAAAGCAACACATGTCAGCCACGCACATTTTGCTCTGGCAAGAAATTGGAAAGTCAGACTTACTTTGAACCCCCATGGTAGCGAAAGGCAGCACTACAGTATATCACCGCCCAAGATGCAGAGGAAATCAGCAAAAGGTTCAAGAAGGATCTGTGGGGCGAGGTTGTACTCACGGCGAGCCTTGGAAGAATCGGCTGAACAAAGCAACCAGGGTGCGAAAGAGAAGGTGAGCTATTCGAACAACTTGGATCTGATTGGGTCAAATGTGTCGCCGACTTACTTGTAGAAGTCCATGATGACTCCTTCGCCCTCGGTCGAGAGGAAGTGGGCCCAATCGTCTTGCAGGTACGCGAACTCGCCCGCGAGCCTGTTGGCAAACATGCCTCCGTTAGCCTTAGTCCACAGAGCTTGGACGGCTGCATCGCTGTTGGCGACAACCGCAGGCATGGGAGGAGCCGCGTTCACAATCGCCACTACGGTAGCGAGGAAAGCAAAGAAAGCGAAGCCAAAGATCTTCATGATACTGAGAGAAGCGAATGCGACGATGAGAAGAAGGTAGCTTGATGGACGTTGGAGAGCCTCTAGCGCTACGAGTGCTCGACACTTTATACCTGTCCTGGTCACAGCATAATGCTTACTGTTCCGGAACCTTCGGAAAGCCCACTCAGCCGGAGAACCTTCGGGCCGACGACGGCGTGAAGTCGGTAGGACTGCGTGACATCGCACACAGGAAACATGACTGGAGTACATATGAGGAGCGGAAACTGTAAGCAATGTTTTATTGTAGAAAGCACCGATGATGCCTGCTGCTGACGGAGTTACCCGTTTCGAGGTCATCACATGCTACCTTAAGACGGCAAATGACCATGCATAGCAGACCAGCCACGCTCTCGTTTCGACGCTCGACAGACTAGTTCATATAAACACTGTAGCTGCCCCAAAAACGAACATGGGAAAGCATTGCTCTTTCATTTCGGACGTTGCAGGAAGGCATACTGCATCCACGCATGCGAGGTGAGTGTGAGAAGCACAGAGACTGCCGGCTCTGTTTCGGTGTGCGTGTCTTCGTGATCGTCACACGCGCTATGCGGTGCTACGAGCATGAATGCATGGTCGTCAGCGATCGGCAGAGTGAGGATAAGACTTGCTCGTGCCGGGCTGAGCAAGACTGAGGTCCTTTCCCCACTCGGTCTTGGGAATGGGCATCTTCTCGGCGAATCTCTGCACGAGGAGTGCGGCTACCTCTGGCTTCATGGCATCGTGGCTCGGCCTGAAAGAGTACGTTTTGGTGTCGGCGAATGTAACCATCCTCAGAAACCTGTATAGTCATGTCAGTCACTCTCAATCATCAGCTCAGCGCACGTCATGGCAGGCAAGACGTCAAACACGCACCTTGGTTTTCCGTGCCAGCGGGCTCCGGCTCTGCAATCACCCAAGAAGGCAAGAGGTGAGTATGCGACCAAGGACGAAAGCGCCAGAGATGAGGTTGATACCTACGTCCAGTATGGAAACTTTGCACTGTACAGCGAAGGCGCGGGGACAAAGGTAGGTTAGAGGAGTACCAATGCTGCATGTAACCGAGGAGCGGAGGTCGCCGAGCTTACTCGTAATAGCTGTTGACGATACCCGGGCCTTCGTGGTAGAGAAAGTCGGCCCACTTGGCCTGAAGATCGCGGTATCTCCACGGGAGCGTATTCATGAAGATTCCTTCATGCGCTAGTTGCCACAGGTCGCGAATGGCCTCTTGGGCGTTGACCACACTGTCGGGCATGGGAGGAGCGGCGAACGCCATTGCCAGGAAGGCCAAAATACAAAGAGCTCGCAGGACCTTCATGATCACGCGCAGATCAAAAACGGTGGCCTATCTGACTGTAAAGAAGGTGTTTCAATGCGGATGCCGGATAGTCTCGACTCGAACGGCCGTCCTTTTATCTCTTCTACGTCAGGCCGAATCGTCCTGTACCACAGTCAACATTCGACCACAGACACCGCTCAGTAGAGCATTGGTGTGGAAGGGACACTTAATTTCGGCGCTTTGAATCGGAGATGGCGTGACAAGCGCGTTCCCTCTCTTCGCCCGAAGAGCAAGGGTGCCGCGGCTAACGAGGCGGCTCGCAATGTGAAGTATCCGTTGAGATCTACTCAATCTTCGCGGCCCGCCGTGTGAAGTATCCGTTGAGACCTACTCAGCCTTCGGAGAAGCGGCGACTATGTCCTGATCGATCTGTGTCCGGTGCCGCCCTCTGCCAGAATCCGTCGGCGGCTCAGAAACCCTTCGGATGACCTGTCCGCCCACCCTGTCTCCAACTTCATTGACAGTCCGGAAGCCCACATGTAGACAAAGCTTAAATACGCGATTGTTTCGACACAGAAAGCCTGCGCAACTCTTAAACGAAGTCTTGGCGACGAGAGCATACAGCTCTCGACTGAGAGGGACTTGGGTGATGCTGCCATTTCTGACCGGGTTCTTCAGTCTCGGCCGGGGCCGACCGGGCTGGGGCTGCGTCTCTGAGCCACCCCGAGCTTTTTGAACATGCAGCTGACGATACCGTGATGAGCTGATCCTCGAATCGCTCGGAGAGTTGAGCAGCAACGGCCTTCTCGAACGGGCGGTCCCGGCGATTGGATGTGTGAGATTGAGTGGCGGTGAGGCTGTCAATTTTCAGGACCCTGAACCGCCAATGACGCGTAGTGACTGATGAGGTCAGCAACAGAACTTCGATGCGAAGAACACGGGCGAGAAACAGAGGTTGCCTTTTCTGACCGTGCAAGGTGGCCGCATCTCCTTGGGAGAAAGGAGATCGTAGTGACCAGTCGAGCTCTGCACAGGAAACGACTTTGGCCAGGCCGAGCCTTGGAGCAATGGAAGGACAGTGGGGCAACCAGCTAAGCCAAGCGAAGCACACCGGCAGACAAAAGCAGTATTAGAAGAGTTGTTCACGACTTCCTTTTCGTGGGGTTGTGGAGAGTGCTCCCAGAGGTTCGTGAACTCGCACGACATGACCTTGACAGATGCGCCTTGACGTACGATCATCCAGGGTACGTGCACGGCCTCTTCGCCCTCGGCGACAAAGTTCGGTAACACGGCATAGCCACACTCAGGCGCGCCTGAACGAGAGACACCGCAGCTGCGAAGCCGAGGAAAGGCCGGTGCGTCACAACTGCAGAGCCGTTCAGAGACTGAGCTCAGAAAGGGCCGTACGCAATTTTTCAAGCGATGCAAAGTGTGGTCGGCTGAGATATTAGGCTTCACGTCACTTTTGATGAGCAGTGCAACACCGGACGAAGGGGCAAGTTTTCCATCATTCGGTGATCAAGACACCGACGCAGGGCGATGAGATCGGTGCTGACTCTGTGGTGAGATTGGGATGAAGTACGCCATGATGAGAAGCAATAAGATTGATGCACAGGCCACGGGCCGCTCTCATTTGGGAGTGAATGCTGCAGCAAGCGTCACAGCCACACCGGCCAGAATCAGCTGGCGGAGCACCTGCAGACGTTATCAAAAATGACCAAAGAAGCTTGAAAGTCGTATAAGAGGGAACCCGGACGTGGACAATATCATCTTGAAAGTAAGCCAGCTTGACTCGAGGCCTTCGAGGCCCTGGCTTGACTCATGAGGAATAGTGACTCGATGAGCCCGAAAGAGCTAGCTATGGCTACTAGAGGTGAGCTCCAAAGAGTCATCAGTTGGTGAATGATGAAGGACGACGAACATCCTTGGCCAGCTGCGCCTGTCTGGCGGCGGCCAGCCTGTCCGCAAACGTGCTAATGAGAGTGGCCGCCACTTTGGGCTTATAGGCATCGCTTTCAGGCTGGTATCTGTAGGGTTCGGTGATGTCGAACTTGACCATCCTGACGAATTTGCTGTGTCCGTGCAAGACTGCTGCATCCCTACTATAGACAATCGTTTCAGAGCGTGTTTCCATCATAGCTAGGGCTGAAGGTGGTTTCGACTCACCGCTTGTCTCGGAACGCCTCTCTGAGAGCACGAAAGGGTGATGCGGGGGAGAGAGGTTAGCGATGCTTTACCGCAAGACGTGATGGAGAGATGGTCGTACCGGTAGTAGTTGTTGACGATTTGTTCGCCTTCGGTGGTGAGGAACTCGGTCCAGGGGCCCTGGATACTGCGCATGTTGTGGGTCAGAACATTCATGAACGTTCCTTGACTTGCGGTTGTCCACAAGGTGCGAAGGGCCTCGCCACCCTTTGCCACGTTTTCAGGCATGAGCGGGAACGCAGCTTGTACGCCCGCTCCAGCGAGAAGAACAAAAGCGTACAGAGCGACAAGAAGCTTCATGCTGCTTAGCGTTGCGATGTAGAGAAGGATAAAAATACGAGAGAGGATCTATGGGAACGATGGACAATCGACTCACTGTAGCTCGAAAGGTGCGCTTTTTATACCTTCTGGAACAGACAGATGCGCTCGGTCCGACAACGGTCCTGACCATAGCACAGCCCCCGAGCTCGGATGTGGCCGCGACGGAGCGTGTTCTTTGTGCCACGACTTGCGTTGTATTCCGACGGACTGGCGGCGTATTTCACGGTCAGGAAGCCGGCTAATGCTCCGGAGCACAACGTGGCCAGGAACGGTTGCACTTCGATCCACTTCATTATGATGAGCAGCTGCGGTCGAGTTTGCCTAGAGCCAGCTAACTGCGTTGCGAGTCAACTTTAGCTGTCCGACACAGCGACCGCTCACACACAAATGCCAATGTGAGAAGGTGTTGTAGTCCCGCAGGCAATTACCTCCCTCTCATCTCTAAAACCGTGGGGCTTTCAAGAACATCCTTGCCTTGTTGCATGTGTCGTTCCACCCGATCATGTGAGTGTTCGCTTTCGTTTGTGGGATAATCACCGATTGAGATGAGCAGCATCGTTTTTGGTTGCAACCACTCTCATCACCAGCTCATAGCAGGAAGAATGGTTGTGGCAGGATCGGCAAGGCCAATTACAGCTTGATCGCAAGTTGATAGACACAGGTCTCGCTCACGCGGTGGTTCGGCAACAGAATGCTTGTGGTAACTGAATTATCGAACCTGAAAGGCACCTCTCCCAAGAGTCTGACTCGAACGAGCTCATGAAAGGTGGGCCAACGTGGCTCGGTCGAGCTCGCGAGAGGTAGACTGGGGCTGCTAGACGCAGGCCTCAAAGATCGCTAGGGGCTGGTGGATCCAGGTCGTCCGAGGCGGAGATCCTTGCCCCACTGCACCTTCCTGGCGGGAGTGGGTCTGCTTGCAAACGTCTCAATGAGAAGGGCGGCCACCTGAGGCTTGTATGCATCGGTGTTTGGATGGTACTGGTACGGCTTTGTCAGTGCAAAGTTGGCCATCTTGACAAATTTGCCGTGACCGTGAAATTTTGCAGCAAAGCTGTGAACGTAAGAACGAGGTTTCAGTACGAGATCGAATCGAGGCGAAACAGTGTGATGATCACGAAGACCCTCGTACTTACATATTGCCTCGGAACGTCTCCCTGTAACCGTTCCAGCGTCGGACAACTCAAAGTCAGCGGTTGGCTGAGAGGCAGTAGTGCTGTGACACAAAGAGCACCTACTTGTAGTACCTGTTGATGATGTCTTCGCCTTCGGTGCTGAGAAAGTTGGTCCACTCGTCCTGGATGCGGGCCATGCTAGGGGGAAGGACATTCATGAACGTGCCTCGGCTCGCAGCCTCCCACAAACCGCGGATTTCCTCGCCGCCACTAGCCACACTGTCGGGCATGGGGGGAAAACCAGCCTGCACCCACGTCACGGCGAAGACAACAAGAGCACATAGAGGAAGAATGATCTTCATGGTGCTGAGACACGGACTTGAGCGACAAGCGGAGCAGTGGGGATGGTGGTCGGACAGCCAACTTTCATCCCAGCGAGGGGCTTCTTATATCTCCCTCGTCGAGCAAACGCGCAAGGTCAGACGATTTTCCTGATCAGTACCTAACTCGCTGTCTCGGAGATGGCACCGATCCATTTGCTTGTGTCGCAAGTTGCGTCGTCTCGCATCGATAGAAACGGCACGGCTCGGGCAGAGATCGGTACCGCGGCGCGGAGTCGATGCAGGCAAACATCGCCATGCCGCGTCTTCATGGCGTTGGATTGGTTGTGGGGCAAAAACTATGATACTGCCCACGGTACCATACGCATGCATGACATCATGTTCAGCGAGAAGGCACTTGTCTAATAAGGCGAGCTCTCGAATACCGTTTGCATGGTCTTCATTCCGGTCCGCGTGAGCACGCTGAGCACCATGCCCGTGCGTGCTATGGCTGTGCACATTTCGGCCGCTTGAAGTGCTCGCTACACATTTCCGTCCTCTTTCTACGGTAGTCCGGTCTGGGTTGCACTTCTTTTGCGTATCATATCCGAACTGGAGCGTATCGGTCTTCATTAGGATTCAGCGAGCTCATCAAGCACGCAGAGCAAGTCATCAAGGCACGGCCCGGCGAGGTTTCCGTGGCAGTCAGCGGTGCGCGCCCGAGCATTCTGCCATGCATGCATCTGTGCAGTGTCCTGTTCACCCCACAAAGACGGCAAGTGACCGCTAGAATTGCCCTACTTGCAGATGATGGCGTTTGCATGCATCGCTCCCGTTGCACTTCTTGCCTCTCACCACATCTCGATATTGTGTCGGTTAGATTGCTCACATTTATTCAACGTCAGATGCGGACACTACGGAAAGACGCAAGTTGTCTGATTCATTCGGTGGTCGGCGGAACCTCCTACGATCAAACTTTCCACGTGAGCCTTGTACGTCTGGCGGGGGATGTACTCGAGCGGCCCGATCTGGCCGAGGTGGGCCATTCTGATGAATCTGTACCATCCAAACACGGGGCATAACCACTCTCGGTACGCCGTCCTACATGCTGTGTCCATGCCTGTCAGCCAAACGTCTGCACTTACTGAGAAGGTGATATCATAGCATGAAAATGAGCTTCAAGCAACAGGTGTGCGACTGTCAACAACATACTCAAGGTCGTAAGGGCCCCTGGGGAAGAGAGCATGACATGGGAAAGCTAACCTTGAACGAAGTTGAATGAGAGAAATCTAAGCTTACCGGTCGAGCATGCCTTCTGTGCGACGAGCCGGGAGCTTGCTCCAAATGGTCTGCAGATGGCTGCTCTTGCCGGGGAAAAGGTTGAGAGAAAGGCGCTTGCCAGCGCTATAGCACTGCGTCTAGATCGTCTGCAACGCTCTGGGGCGGGTGAGCGGGCCCGTCGAGGCCACCGGCAACCTACGAGCAGCAAGGCAAACAAACAGCGCTGGCAAGATCATTCAGCTCGTCAATACGTACTGGGTGGGATCAAAGCTTATCGTGACCGGGCAGAGCTTGCACGATCAGGCTCCAACCGGACATTGATCGGGCCGGTACTGGCAATTGAACATGCCGGAAAGTTGATGGGAGCATGATGCCTTGCGGGCGAATTTTTTTGCGGTTGTTGGGTCCCACCATGCAGATGTGGACGCTGTATGCATGATTCATATCGGCAACGGTGAAAAATTGCCCGCGCGATGTTCGACTCTGCATGAATTGCATCCTGGTAGCGGCTACGTACAAGACCGGTTGATGTCGGGCTACAAGTTGGACTTCCAAAACTCGACGCTCCTCTCGAAAGCCTTTTCAAACGCGTCCTTGACCTGCTTTTCTGCCAGATCCGGCCTGGCCGCAAAGCCATGGACAGTGTTGGGGTAGTACTCAAACTTGTGCAGTGGTGCATCCTGCCTCTTAGCCCAATCCTGCTCGACCTGTTTAGCGTAGGCCTCGGAAAAGATGGGGTCGTACTCGGCGACGTTGAACAGGATGGGATTCTTGATCCCTGCGATGTCGCCTTTGGTGATCATTGAGGGGTGGTTGGCCACGCTGACGTCAATGTGACCGGTACCGTTGAGTGCGATGACGAGTTTACCGCCGTAGCAAAAGCCGGTGCCGCCCAGACGCGTGTAGCCCTTGGAGGCCTTGAGTTCGTCGATCCACTTTTTCATGGGACCGATCTTGGTGGCGGGGAAGTGGCGCACGAAGAAGGGTGTTGTGGTCGCAAACGCGGCGACGGTCTTGAGCTTCTGCACGATGCCCGAGGAGCGCGCGCTCTGCGCTGTCATGGGTGCCGAGCTCAGCGCTGCCTCGCTAATGCCTCCCCCGTTGAACATCTGCAAGCGTCATCAAAAAATGGTTAACAAAGTGCATTCGTGCATGACATCGGGAGGGTTGGGTGAGGAGCTTACATCGGGGACATAGACGGTGAGGCCGGTGGCATCGGCGAGCAGGTCGGGGATGATCTTGTTGTTGACGAGGTTGAGGCCGAATGCGTCGTAAAAGTAAATGATCGCCTTTGAAGCCGAGTCAGCCGAGGGGCTCGCAGGCGTGGCGACGTAGGTGTTGAAGCCGTGGAGCGACTCGATCTTGCCCTTGGGCTCGCCGGGGATGCGCGAGCCCGAGGTGCAGTGTACGCAGAATCCGGAACCGGGCGCCGCGGTGGTGTCAGACGACATGGCGGGTGGTGTTACGTGTACGAACAGTTGTGGTGGGAGATCGAAGTAAGAGGGACGGATGGCAGGGAGATGCAGATGGTGGTAACCCGGAAAGGTGGGGCGGCGTTGCTTGTACGAGGATGTGCCGTGTTCGACAGGCGGGGTGCATGGTCTGTGTGCTCGTGCAACATGAGCGGACTGCCTCCAACACGGTCCTTCAGCTTCAACCGCCGGCCGTTGGTCCGTGTGAAAGCGCAAAAATTGGATTGCCGGCCGGCGTAACATTGACGACATGGTTCGACGTAACACTCTTTTTCCGAAATAAATCCAGCTCGAACGAGCTAACACTTCGCACCAACGTCGCTGAGCTCCGACCCACCATGATCCTAGGCGTGACACGATAGAGACAGCGTTTAGACGGACGCTGCTTAGTCTTGGACGAGGCTGCTGGACTCGGCCATGGAGCCCACCGCCGAAAGCAGCACGCTTCACAGCTCCACCCATGCCGACAACACCGATGCTCCCGAAGCTACGGCTACCACACCGCTTCTGCCGCGCGCCGCGGCGAGTCACGAACGCAAATCATGGTCGCGCTACACCCGGCTCGGTCTCTCATTGACTGGTGTGCTGATACTCGGCGTCTTGGTGCTAACTCTGCTTGGCCTGCACTCGGCTGCTGACGATGGTGCGACATCGCTCTGGCCGAACGCGACGCTGTCCAACGGCACGCACACGTTCCGGCGCACCGTGATCCTCATCTCGCTCGACGGAGCCAAGCCTGTCTACCTCGACTCTGGGCATGCTCCGCACATCCAATCGCTGTCTACGCAGCCGAATGGGCGACGAGCCGAGTACATGCAGCCGGTCTTTCCGACTCTGACGTTCCCGAACCACTGGGCGCTGCTCACGGGTCTGTACGCCTCATCCCACGGGATCGTTGCCAACGACTTTACGCTCGGCACCACCCACGCGCAGTTCTACTACACCGACCCGCGGCGATCGTGGCCTGGCTCATGGTGGCTCGGCGAGCCTATCTGGGCCACTGTGCAGCGCGCAGGCTTGTCGGCAGCTGTGCTCATGTGGCCCGGTCCGCCCGTTACTGCCGCCGGGGTGAAGCCGAGGTACTTTCAAAAGTACGCAAGCGGGCCAGAGTGGGATCTGCAGGGACGCAAACGGGCGGTGCTGGACTGGATCGACATGGCCAATGTGCAGGATCGACCGAGCTTGATCTGTGCCTATGTGCCGGATATCGACCAGGCAGCACACCGGTTTGGACCCAACAGCACACAAGCCCTGCAGGCGGTGCGGGCAGTCGATGCATTCGTGGGGGAATTGCATACCGAGCTGGTACATGCGCGTAATCTCGGTGGGGTGGTGGATGTAGTGGTGGTGAGTGACCACGGCATGACGAGCACGAGCAATGCACGGCTGGTGTTCCTCGACCAAGTGTTGGACGCCAAGGTGCTTGCGGCGGTTCAAACACGCGATGCATGGCCCCTCGCCGGCTTGCGATTCCGCGGCTCCCAAGCCGAACAAGATCGAATGGCACAGCTCGCCTATACGCAGCTCAAGAAGGATGCTAAGGGGTACGATGTATTCTGGCGGCAAGAGTTGCCGGAACGATGGCATCTGAACTCGCCCACTGTACGAGACAGGTTGGCTCCATTGTGGATGGTCCCCTGGCCAGGATGGTCGATTACAGACCATGCCGAGTTTGCAACGTTTGCAAACGGAACCTATGCGCCAAGAGGCAACCACGGGTATGATAATACGCACCCCGACATGCACGCCATCTTTGCCGCTACCGGCCCCTCCTTCTCTCCGCATCCAAAGCAGGGAAAGCCTGTTATGGAGGCGTTTGACAATGTGCAGGTGCACAATCTCGTCGCTCGCATCCTGGGCGTTCCACAGCGCACGCGCGCCCCCACCAACGGCACTTGGTCCTTTTGGACTCCCCACCTTCGCTCCGGTCTCTAGACACACACGCACGCGCACGCGGGCGGGATTTCAGATGAACAATGCTATATTTGACACTGCCTGCGGACGGCTACGGTTCGGTACGTTGTTTCTTGTCGGCCTCTTGCGAGTCGTCCTTCTTCTTGCGCTTGACCATGCTGCTGAGGTTGTTGACGGGTGCATCGGACGAGGCGGTCTTGGCGCCCGTGAATGGGTTTACGTCGTTGTCGTCAGTGCTGCCGAGGAAGGCGTCTTTGATCGCCTGCTGCAGCGCGTCCTTGGTCGTCATCCCCGCTGCTGCTGTCGCTTCGGCAGGGAGACCAAGTACACCCGCCAGGTCAGGCTGCCCACTCAGCTGCGCCTGGCCATCCTCAGTGTCGTACTCGTCGAGCTTGGTGTCGATCTCGCGCTTCATGCCGCTCACGTCCTCGAGCTCGGTCTTGAGCGCCGCAGCGTCCAGCTCGACCAGATCGTCGCGCTCTTTTCCTTCGTCCTCTTTTGCCTCGGCAGCGGAGGGGTTGTCGATGCGAGCTTGGATGGCGGCAATGCGACTAGCGAGGACCTGCGAGGCGGACTGGACGTGCTGCTTGGCGCGCTTGCGCTGGTCGATGTCCGGGTGGAATTCCAGCGCGAGGCCGAGACGCAGGTGGGCGTCGGCGAGACGGCGCGAGTGGGCGCGCAGCAGCGGCTCGAGCATCTGCAGGCTCGCCTCGTAGTCCGCCGAGGCCTGCGCAAAGTTCTCGGCCTCGAGCCCAACGTCGCCGAGGTGGTTGAGCACCTCGGCCAGCTCGGCCTGGATGCGCGTCTTGCCCCACTGCTGCGCCTCGAGCGTGGTCAGCTCCGGCTTGTCGGCCGCGAGGATGCGCTCGTAGATCACGCGCGCCAGATCCAGCACCGAAAACGCCACCTGCAGATCGTCGTCGTCGTCGTCCTCGTTGGCACCCGCACCAGCTGCACCTTCGTCGTCGTCCTCGTCGTCGTCCTCGGCATCGCCACTGAAGCTGAAGCGAGGATCCGCTGTCGCTGAGGCGGAAGAGGAGGCAGCATTCGAGGTGGATGGCTTCGACGAACCTCCTGCAGCAGGTGCCGATTCGACCGCGGCGCTCTTGCTCGGTGCAGAGGGAGCGGGGAGCGGCGCCGATCCACCTCCGCCGCCGAGGGCTGCCGAGTTGACGATGAAATTTTCGAGCAAGCTGCGGCCGTACAGATGGAGCACGGGCGCTAGCTCGTCTGCATCCTCGGCGTGGTGCGACGAGAGCTGCTCGAGCGCCTGTGCGACCTTGTCGATGGCTTGCGCATACTCCTTGAGTGCGAAGTGGCGGCGCGACTCGTCGATGAGCTGACGTGCGTTGGCTGCGTCACCGGCACCGGTGGAAGCGTCCGCCTCGGCAGGGACAGGGTTGGATGGCTGCTCGTTGAACGCCATTGTATGTGTGTGCGTAGGAGGATGAGCGTGGTGATGGACGGTGCGAAAGGTGCGGAAGGTGGAGGAGGAATCCAACTTCCCATCTTCTTCCCTCTCTACGCGCTCAGTCGATTTTAGGCGGGAAAGCGCAGTCCAACACACGCGTCGCGTCGAGAAGCGTCTTTGTTACTTTGGACCCTTCCATCCTCATCCCTGCTCTCTCACATGGCGCGCGGATGACCCACAACAACGATCCATTGCATTTTCCTTTCCACGATGCAAACTAAGCAATCTTGTACGCGATGATGAGCTCGGGCACTTGTGTCTTGGGCAGCGAGCCCAGCGCAAACGTGAGGTTGTAGTAGTAGAAGCCGTTGACGGTCTTGGACGAGTCGTAGGTGAGGGAGCGGTTCACCGAGCCTGCAGCCACGTTGCCGCTCAGCTCGAGCTGGATGCCGGGCACGGCGCTCGTAGCGTTCGAGTGCAGCAGCAGGTCGGACGGCAGGTTGTCAAGCGGGGACGTGCCGATCATCAGCGTCATCTGCGACGGGGCGGTGTAGTTGGCGCTGAAGGCCCGCGAGGGCGGGAAGCGGATGGTGATGTTCGACTCGGACGCCGTAGCCGAGATGGTCTGGGTGGTTGGGTAGAGCGAGAGCCAGGATGTCTTGGGCTGGGCATAGTGCAGGCCGTGCGTGTCGGGCGTGGACCAGAGCAGCACGGCTGGGGTGAAAGCAGTCGGGTTCTTGGCTGGCCCACCGATGGTGGCCTCGTCGATCTCGGTGCCGCCCGCGGAAACGTTGCGTCCGATCCAGGCAGTGTAGTTGCGCGGGCCGTATTCGTGCACATCCGCATCGAACGGTGGCGACCACGCATTGGACCGAACCAGCCTGCCCACCTTGGAGTCGTCGGTGCAGGGCTTGAGCAGCTCGCGCGCATACTTCGAGACGTGCGGGTCGTGGAATCGGCTGGTGATCGCCATGAGCGGTGCAAACGCCGCATCGGAAACATGTGGAGATCCAGAAAGCTTCCATGGCACCGGCCAGCTCTTGGCGCTTCCATCGTTGAATGCACCAACGTAGAATCCGATCAGGCTCACATAGTCCGAAAGACCAAATCCATACGTGCGGTCCCACGACCCACCCAGGCTCTGCAGATCGGGCTGCCAGAGCTGCGCGGTCTTGTCCCAGATCTTGGCGATCGTCTCACCCGCTCTCTTGGCCATGGTGGTGTTGGAAGGCAGGTAGCCGGCCAGACTGAGGGCCCAGAGCGAGACACCCGTGTAGGTGGCCGAGTTGAACTCGGGCAGCGTGTCGTACATGTCAAAGAGGCTGTAAAACTCGCCGGCATAGTGCTCTGCATGCGACGTCATGTTGGCATCGCCCTTGAGGTGGCCGTAGTACGACATGGCCATGCAGCGCATCAGCCACGGGTTCGAGTAGGCCGGCGTGAGGTTGTCGCCATCCAGACCAAACACGCGGTAGGTATCGCCCACCACGGCACGGTAGCCCGACTCGATCACGGCGGCCTTGGTGTCGGCGTCGAGCAGGTGGCCAAAATCGTCGATGGCGAGCATGAATGCGGTCGCCACGAATAGGTTCGAGTTGGCATCGTACGAGCCGTAGATCTTGGGCGCGTTGAGCGCACCGGGGGCCGGCTGGTTGGGGTCGAGGAAGGCGCCGTACCAGATGTCGGAGGCATTGGTCCACTGGGCAGCAATGGCGTTGTGGATGAGCTGCTTGGCCAGCGGCACATCTCCGGGCGCATTGCGTGCCAAAAGCGCCACGGCATAGTAGGCGGTGTAGCGCGAAGAGGCAAAGATGTACGGCGGCTGAAAGTTGGCATCGAGCATGTTGAGCAACACGTCGAATACGTGGCGCTGGCCCGGCGAGAGCGTCGAGAGAAAGTCGCTCGCATTGGCGCTGTTTCGCGCCTCGAGCAGCTCGTCGATCCGCAGCGGTGCGGTGCTCGACACGGCGCTGGGCAATGCCTGCACAGCACCGAGGGAGGCTACGCCGATGGCGCCAGCAGCGGCCAGTGTAGACACGATGCTCGACAGCCTGACCATGGTTATGAGGGGAGGGATCTTTGAATGCGAGGGAGAAAGTGGATGGGCGACATCCTAGGCTGCTCGAGGCTGGGTTTAAGTAGCCTGACAGGTGATGCGAGATGCATGCTGAACGAGCCAGATACGAGGCAGGGCCACAAGGTGCACTGCGTTACCATATCGAGCAGGCCGAGGAGGGGCGAAGGCGTTGGGGCCATACGCTGTAGCCGAGACGAAGGACTCTACGAAGCGAGGTGGGAGCGCAGGATCTTCTGCACGAACGGAGCCGAAGCGGGCCGACGTGTGCGATTAGCGAACGGCCAAGTCGGCGTCGGCTTTAGGGATTGTTACTGTGCGCTTTGCGTCCATGCTCGCTGTCCGCACGTGTGAGCACAGTCACCTATGCCGTTAGTGCACGAGTATGGATGCACAAGCTAGCGTCGTCTGAGTCTGAACCATGCCGGCGGTGTTGGAGTGGGTGACAGCGGAGCGGAGTGGAGCGTACGATAGCGCTTTCAAAGTGCGGGGAAGGAGAGTTGGCCGGCGATATCTGGCGGCACACTCTGACGCGTCAAAGTGGGGGAGCGTCAAGTCGGGCGTGGGGGAGCCAATTCACCGCTGGTCGCACACACCGGTCCGGCCCACTCGCTGTGGCCTTGCTATCGTCGCCGACTTGACCGCGTTACAAGGCGAAAAAGAGGCGTCCAATCGGCATGGCAAGGCGAACCAGAACAGGCAAGGTCGTGCGATCCAACACGGCCAACATGGCAGTGTGCGCCGCCAAGTTGGCCCGGCATCGTATGCTTTTTGCCGGCACGATATGGGAGGACAGATGCGCCGGTTGACTGTCTCGGCCGGCATTCTACAAAGACCAATTCGGTTATATCCGACGCTGAAAAAGCCGGGGCGACGAAGAGCCCAATGTGGAGATGTCGGTCTGACATTTTGGAAATTCGCCGGAAATTGAGCGAATGACATGGAGACGGCGCGCCCCAACGGCAAAGCAGAGCCAAGCAAGAGCCGGCTGAGTCGGATGGCCGAAGCGCGCTAACCGGCTCGCATTCTGGTGCGGCCACCTCAGCAGCTCGCCTCGTCCTCCAATCACACGCTATTCCCATCCGCACGTCGCCACCCCTGTCATCAAGCCTTCTTACCCCGCGTTTCCCTCCATCCCACCACCACTTACAGAAACACACACTCGCCATGGCGTTCCAGTCCATGCTCAATGGAGCAGAATGCTCCACCTCCAACAATGGCCTCGCACAGATGCTCAAGCACACCTCCCAGGACCGCTCGCTCCAACATGGCGACCGGACCACCGCAGGTCAGCCCCACATGAGCCCCGCCGGCATGAGGCAGCAACACCACGCCGGGCCGAACTCGGACGCAGAAGCCTTCTTCCGTCAACAGCAGGGCGCCTCTCTGCCCGGCACCGCCAACTCGGCGTTTGATATGCACGCCATGCGCAGCGAGCTCAACACCGCCATGCCCGCCTTCCAGCGTCCCAACGCCGGCGCTGCGTGGGCCAGCCAGATGCCCCGCAACGCCACTCCCAACTCGGCAGACATGGAAGCCGCCTTCGCTCGAGGTGGTGCTCCGCCCGCCTCTTCGCAATGGGCCAACCAGTTCGGATCCTCGCGCCACCAGGGCCCCGCCATGCACCACTCGATGAATGCCCGGGGCGACGGCTCCGGCTCCTCGGCAGCATACGCCTCGCGGCCCATGATGGGCTCGTATGGCGGTATGGGCATGGGCGGCATGGGTGGCATGGGCATGAGCATGGGCATGGGTACGATCGGCGGAATGGGCGGTGGAATGGCCACCATGAACGCGCCCCAGCAGACCCAAACGTCTGCCTCGCGCTTCACCGAGCTCGACGATGCCAAGTGGGAAGAGCAGTTCAAGAAGCTCGATGCCGAGCAGGCCGATACCGAAGCCAAGGGCAAGGGCAAAGCGAAGCAAGACGAGCCCGATCTGCTGCCCTCGGAAGCCGAACAGGCCGAGTCCATCCGTCGCGAACTCGACGCCATCGAGCAGGAGCTCACCGCCGACGGTCAAGAGGCCAACTCGCGCTTCGAGGATCTGTGGCGCTCCATGAACGCGCGAAATGGCGTGCCCCCCTCGGCGGCGGACGCCGAGCTGGCAAAGTGGGAGCAGGAGCTGCTCAACGCCCGCACCGACGACGACGAGACGTTTGGCTACGCGCATCCCTCGGGCGGTCTCGGTGGCGGTCGTTACGGTCTCGACGAGATGGCCGCACTCGACGGAACCGAAGATGCGTTGCTGGATGGGTTTGGTGTGGTGGGGCCCGACGGCTATCCGCGTCTGGGCAACTATCGCCGCAGCCAGCAGAATCCGTTCTCGGCGCACTCGGATCCGCTCTCCGAGGGGCTGCGTCTGCTTGCCAATGGCGGCAATCTGTCGGATGCAGCGTTGCTCTTCGAGGCTGCTACGCAGCGCGATACGCCCGGTGGGACGGGTGGCGAGGTGGAGCGTGGTGAGGTGGACCGCTCGCGTCGCGAACGCTCCGAGGCCTGGCGCAGGCTGGGCGAGTGTCAGGCGATGAACGAGAAGGAGGCGCAGGCGATCCGTGCGCTCGAGGAAGCCATCAAGATTGACGAGAACAACCTCGAGGCGTACATGTCGCTCGCCATCTCGTACACCAACGAAGGCTACGATACCGCAGCGCATCAGACGCTCGAGCGCTACATTTCGCGGGCCTATCCGCACCTCAAGGCCGCTCCGTTGGCTGCCGAGATTTCGGGGTCCAAGGATCCGATTGAAGGCACCACGGGCAATCCGTGGGCGAGTTTGAACCGGGTTACGGATTTGTTCCTTCAGGCTGCACGCGAGGGCAATGCGGCAGGACAGGTGGATCCCGAGGTGCAGGTTGGACTCGGCGTGTTGTTCTATACGCAGTCATCGTACGAGCAGGCGCAGGACTGTTTCAACACGGCCCTGAGTGCGCGACCGAACG